GGGGTCCACAACAGCCCTGATGCAGCCCTCAATGGATCCCCTGCCCTAGACCCACTAATCATAATGTTGTGATGATGCTTCACAGCAGTGCAGTGCTTCTGCATGGCCAAAGCTTTGCCAGTAGAGATGGTCTGAAAATCCTTAAAATTCTAATCCAACAAGAGTCATGAGTCCCAGATTTTGGATGAATTCTTTAAGTAAGCCCATTTGAAGACCTTCAATTCATGTATGTGTGTGTGTGTGTGTGTGTGTGTGTGTGTGTGTGTGTGTGTTGTGGCCCACAGGAGCTGTTGAGGCTGCCACCAGACTCTGACAGCGAGGGGCCCTATGAGTCAGCTGTGGAGGATGTGGAGGACCCTGGACAGGGTTCCAATTCTGAGCAGGGCACAGAGAGGCTGGTTGGCCACCAGGAGGCACCTGAGCCTTGGACCAGTGGAGAGGAGACAAGGGAGTTGTTCCTGGATGCCCAGCACCAAAGAGCTAATAGGCCTAAGGAACAGTTGTGCAGTTACAGGAGATAATTGCACTCAGCTGGTGGCAATTAGGCTCCTCTCAAGACTATAAAAGAAATGATTGTGCACATGCCCTTTTGCAGGAGTCAACGTATTCACTAAAGTTGGAGAACTTTCATGGCTAGCTTGGCAGGCTGGATTGCTGCCAACGTCTTGTCTGTGCTGGCTTGCTGCCAAGGTCCTCTCTCTGTGTTAATAAATCCTTGCAGTATCTTTGTCTCGGCGTGCTTTGGTGTAGGACGAGGGGGATTAGAATATATATTAATGGGAGTATGCAGTATGCTTCCTCCCATATTTGGGCATACCAGGGATTGTGACATAATACATACCTATTTCCCTGGCTTAGCTGATAAAGGTGGAGAGCCTGTGGCTTAATGGCTAACACAACTGCCTAATACAGCCCAGGTTCAAATCCCAGTAAGGGTATGGCTAGCTGATGAAAGCTAAATAGCTTGAAATAAATCTATACTAGTCACCCTTTATTTATTTATTAGCACAAATGGAACACACACACACACACACACACATTCTCCTAGGATTGAAGGTTACAAAGAGACAAACAAATTGAAGGTTATGAAGAAACAAACAGATCGGAGAGGCTTGAGTAGAACTGCACTTTAAGCTCCAGACTTCCAGTTTCAAGATTTAGTCTCTTAGCCAATGGGAATTAATCAAAATGGCATCTAGCTATGTGGTATAACCCTGGAGGGACATCAAAAGTTATATTTCTTCTCGTTGTAGCAATCCTTAGTGAGAATAGGAACACTGCTTTGGCTGTTCCCAGTTGTACCCAGATGTAAGAAAGAGCCTTCCAAAAAAAAGAAATTTGCGTTCTCCTGCTTCCCTTTTGGGTTGCTGTAACTCTAGAGAATTGGACTGTGAGAATTTTAGAGCATAAAAAGTCACAAACTGCATCACTTAAACACGATGACTAGATACAATATTGAGAGACTGCTTTAGGTAAGGCAAGAATTTCTGAATATAAACTTGTGGTTTCAAGGGGAACACGTAAATCTGGGAAGCTGGTTTGAGATTATAGTCAAACGTGAGGTTAGGAGAGGGTGCGAGGTGAGTCAGTCAGAGAGTGAAAATGCTCCTTGCAATGTTTTCTGCAACAACATCTAAACTGCAGAGCTGTGGCCCCTTTAGAAGTTGGTGTTTCCCTGATGGATGAAGCCATTGGTGCTCCTTCCATTTGAAATATGATTGCAGTAAACCCCCCACCATCAATTGCTGCTAAATTGTGGAAAAGATGGAACANGATTTACAGTGGCTTTTTCCTCCCCAAATTATTCTAGCCAGCTTCATTGTATTAGAAAGTGAATTTCAGTGATGGTCTTTGCATGAACATGGGGTAGCTCTATGCTAAAGACAGTGATTCATAGCCAAAAGTGAAGCTCAAGATAATGCCAGCTTCTGAGCCCTCTCCTGGTATTAAATTATGTTTTCAAATGACACCGTCTCCCTTCGCAAAGCCGAGAGAAGGATGAATGAAGTCCCTTGCCAATTGCTTCATCTTGGAATGCAGTTTTGATAATGACATGATGACCTTGTAGGGAGAGGCAGAAAGGGAGTAATTTATACGTGGAAAAGAAACACGGCAATATACAAATCCATAAAGAGATCTCCAGATGAACTGTCCTCTTTTGTGGGGGTATAGAAGTGTGTGTGTGTGTGTTGGGGGTGTGTGTGTGCCAGGAACATTATCACACGGCAGTCTGGCTACTGCATCATGTGCTGATGCTTGCATTCAAATCGCGTGCGGGCTTAAACCACTCCAGCCGGCTGGGTGGAGGGGAAATGAATTTTCGAGCGAGGAGCAATCGTGGTTTAAATTCATAGGAAATAGAAAAGAAAAGATTCTTGGCAGCTGTGAAATGTGCCTGGCAAGCTAAAGCAACATTCCCACAACATGCTACGCTAAGTTCGGAATTCGGGGAGGCCATCCATCCAGCTGCCCAATTTTGGGAGCGCGTGCCAGGAAGCAGGATTCTGGCGGACTTTGTAAAATGAGATTAGGACGATTTAATTTAACACAGATATATTTTCAAGCTAGATGATAGCTTATAGAACAAGGGTGTCAAACTCAATTTCATTGAGGGCCACATCAAAAAGCTGAGGTGGTGCAGTGGTTAGAGTGCAGTATTGCAGGCTACTTCTGCTGCCTGCCGGCTGCCTGAAATTTGGCAGTTCGAATCTTGCCAGGCTCAAGATTGACTCAGCCTTCCTACTTTATGAGGTCGGTAAAATGAGGACCCAGATTGTTGGGGGCAAGAGAGGCTGACTCTGTAAACCGCTTAGAGAGGGCTGCCAAGCACTATAAAGCAGTATCTAAGTCTAAGTCCTATTGCATTTTTTTATTATTATTTTTTTCATATATACATTCACAATTATATGATCTCATAACTGTTATTAATAATATGTATT